TTTTCTAGAATGATTTATCAAGATGTAGTTGTATAACTCGAATGGAAGAATCAGAAAAGGGATGGAAAGAATAATTTGTAATTATTAAGTCGATAAACTAAAATTTTAAATGCCGAAGGAATTTTCTGAGCTTAAACATATTTTGTAAACTACTTTTTCAGATAATGCTTTAACTTTTTCAGGAATATATTAAGCTAAATGTTCTAATGTTTTTTTTATGAAAAAAAAACATCTCTTCTATTTGAGCATTGTATTGCGGAAGGCATGTAAATTTATCAGGTATACATCGGAAATATTTTTTTCTGAATTTGAATTAAATGCTGAATTTTATATTTAAGAGAATATTTTGAGTATTGTTTTATGTATTTACATGAATTAATGGTTGCTAAAATGCATTTACAAAATAGTTTTCAGCTAATTTGCGGATCTTTCATTCGTTCTGTTGTGTTCAATTCTTCATCGTTTATTTTTTAGTTATATTATTTACACAGAAAGGTTAATTGATAGCTTACATTTTAAATGCAATCTAACCCTACATTTTTTGGACTTTTTTTCGAAAAAGTTTAATTTATCAAGAACTATTAGACTGATTTCACTCTTTTTTTTTGGCATGAAAAACTATTTTCTTTAAAATGATTAAAAAGCAATTTTTATTTTATAATTTAAACTATTTTCTTACTATTACTAAACAAAAAATAAAACAAAAAATTTCTAAAAGTTTTTTTGCAAGGAACTATCTCTGGATAAACGAAATTTGAACTTTTGCACAAATTTTTTAAATTCGCTAGAAAAGCTCCTGAGATATAGCGAAAAGTAAAATTAATATCAAAAGTGTCTAAGCCAAAACGAACCCCCATATTTGGGAGTCTGAAATCTAAATCAATCACCAACAAAAAAATTAGAAAATCTGATCAATGAAGCAAACATAATTAAGGGTGATTTATTCTGATTTTGCGCACTCTACACCTTTTTCCATGTTGGTTTTCCCATGTATCAAACAACGGACACAAAATTTCAGGGTTTCGCATTTATACAAAATAATCTGTTTTTTTCTTCCTTGTATTGTACATTTATTCTTGAATATCATGTCCTCCACAATTAAGTAGGAAATAACTAACATTCAAATAACTTATTATTGCAAGATTTAGTAGAAAGTTTACGTATTTAAATTAAATTAAGTAATGTTAGTTGGATTAAAGTTCTGCATCAGTTCTTTGCTTGGATATACTAATTCCTATGCTTTGTATTTGCTTTGTTTACGGTGGCGATTCAAACACAAAAGCTCAATTTTAATAAGAACTTTTTCTTAAACTTCGCTTCTTTTTATAATATCAAGGATGTTTCATAGAGTTTGTCTGATTTCGTGGAATTTGGGGATTGATTTTGTGGAAATGCTGTTCTAAGTTCAGTTTTAAATCTTCTAGCTTTTCTTCCAAAACTGAATTTTTTTTAAATTATAGTAATTATTTTGCATTGCTCATAAAATGTGTTCTATTTCTTAGCTTTATTAAATTTAATTTGGGGCGGGGAGTAATAAACATTTCTTAAAAGTAACATGCATATTTAATGTTTGAGGTTTATAACTTATACAAATATAAATGGATACCTATCACTCTCTCAAATATGTATTATAAGAAGTATTAAAAATTGGTTTTGCAGTTGCATATATTCTGTACTACTATCCAAGTTATCAGGATCTTTTACTTGCCACTGTTGTATTATAATATTTATTTTTTTAGTTAAAAAAATTGTAGCGATTCCATAGTTTTTACCCGCATGTCAGAAAGCATGAAATTAAATTGCATAAAAATGTCTGAAAGGGAATATTTTTCAACTATGCTTATAAATCTAAATTATAGTACTCAGAGATAAATAATTATTAATATTCAGAAAACGACGTATATGCATATAATTATAAATTTTAACTGTTTTGTGAAAATGCTATTTTATTACTTGTTTCGAAGTTTTTTTGTTCTAAATGCAATTCGTTTCGAATTCAATTATTATAATTTTTACTAATAATACATTTTTTAAGCACTCATACATAATAAATATAATGAATAATCTCATTTTACATATATTTTAAATTTTCGTTTTTAAAAAATATTTTTTTAGGGACTGGAGAACTTTATTATGATCCATTAATAATGAAATTCTTAAATAACTGAAAATTATTTCCAATGGATAGATCCCTATAGTAGAAATGAACTCTGCGCTTTTAGCGAAAAGAAAGTAAAATCTTCAAATGTCAGTTTTTGAGAATACCAATAATAAACCATTTCATCATTTTTCTGATGATTCTGATGATAGTCTTATTATACATATATTTTTAAATTTTTTATTTTTAAAGAATAATGTTTAGTCATTTAAAGATAAAAATATTACCTATTAATAATGAAATTTTTTAATTATTAAAAAATACTACCAATGAATTAATGAATGGATAATTAAGATTATTCCCAATGGATTACCTACAGCAAAAGTAAACTCTATGACTCTATACTTCTCAGCAAAAATGAAGTAAAACCTTCAAATGTCAGTCTAAAACAATGCCAATAATAAATCATTTTATCGTTTTTCTGATGATGAAGCAATGTAACGAAAACAAGTAATTATTAATTATAAAGCAACCCAGCAAATTCAAGTTAATTTACAAATCGATCGGTTCTCTTTTGATTGAAAGATACGATTACTGATTACTTTTTAAAAGTTCCTTTTTCAATATTTTGTATTTAACTGCCTGGAAAATATTGGAATCGGTTTTCTTTGTTGCCCAGTAGTTAATAACACACACATGGCGACATAATGAAATCGCCAATGACAGGTGTCCAGGCTCCCAAATGGCTTGATTTGAGCTTGCTGTAAATAAAGTCCGTTTTCTGAAACTACTGTCATTAATACAAAAGCTTTGTCGCCATTCTAAAAAAGCTTGATACATTAAAGATAAAAAAGTTGATGTAGAATGTTGAAAAAATGCATCAAATAAAGCATCAAGCGAATAAAAAACTTTTGTACTTTTCCAAATAATGTAGTTTTTTTCTTATTTTTATTTACTTTTAAGGGATAAGAAACAAAAAAAAAGAGCTCAAATTCCGCTTGTATCTCATTTTCTTTCGTTTTATATATATCTATACTCCTTAAAGAAATGTTTCGTGGCTGAAGTGAAGTTAAAGGATTTTTTATTTTTGTCATTTTCGAGAAGAGAATAAAGAAGAAAAAAGCCCGGATGCTAAAGAAAAAAAAAATTTTTTTTCGTTTTACTAGTTCTCCTCTTGTAGAAAAGTTTTAAAATCGGGAAAAATGTTCTCCAGGACTATTGTCTCCCAAACAATAATGAAAGACGTTTTGTGAATTTGCTTTGAAACGAATGTCAACTTAAGAAATATTTTGTAAAAGTATTTATCTGCCAATGTTGTCATGATCTTTGTAATTACACAAGTGAAAAAAAAAGTATTTGAATTTCAGGAAAAACTACTTGAGCACGCCCTATTTTTAGAAAACGTTCTCACAATTGAGAAGTAAAATGTCATTTAGTACTTTATTTTATTTCTTTGTTTACTCTTATAAGACAGTTTCTTTTAATAACATTTTAAAAAAAGTAATTTTTTTAAGATAAGTGAAAAAATTTACTTATTGTTCAAACATCAAAATTATACACACATTTTATTGGCGAAATGTAGATATTTTTATTTAAATATTTTCTTTTCGTAAACAAACGAAGGTTCATGGCTCATTAGGCTTTTTCAGTTCATTTAATGCTTATGGCCATTTTCCCCTATAACAATGCTTTGTTTCTTTGTATAACATATAAAATGTTGAATTCAAACAAATATTATACTCGACTTAAATGCATAACAATTTTTCTTAATTATATAGACACATCAATTTTAGAAATACTCCATTGTGCACATTTTATGGTAATTTTTTTGAAAAATTTTCTTAGAAACCTGTATTCATAATAAATTATATTTTATTGCAGTTACTTTATATCTTATAATTAAACTTAATTATATTGACTTTATTATATTTTATTCGAGTCTTAGTTCCAGAAGCGTAGTTATGAGTTTATATGATTCATACCACAAGTTAGGAATCTTATATAAAGTTCTGTGATTTGTTGTAGTTTTTTTTCTTCCTTTTTTTTATAACAATCACTAAGTATAATGATTTTTTTTCTAATATGTTCTTACCAGAACTTAAATATATACGCATAACACACTGAAAAGTTGAAACTAGACTAAAAATTTTCTGTTAATAAGGACTAAAGTTGGTTTTTTAATGACAGTATAATTGCAGTAATTAATGAAATAATGATATCATTGCATTCATAATAAACTAAAACTTAATTACAGTTATGAGTGTAAATTATGTGTAGAAAAAGCTTTAAATCTTTTACAAAGCTTTAAAATTTCATCATTTAGTTTTCCTGAAATATTTGCTTTTTTTAGACAGTATTTAAGCTATTCCACTTGTCCGTTACTCACGTGACGTATAATTAATGTGAAATTTGAACTTTTGCNATTGTTTTATATATATATATACAGAGAGAGAGACAGAGATTACTCAATTTAAATTTTAAATTAAAATTACTGTAATTTTGAGTCTGTAGTATGTGCATAGTTTTATTTAAATTTAAATATATACTTTTCGTTAGGATTCTAGAGTTTTTATTGTATTTTACGGTTTGCTGAAATCTCTTTGATTAGCATTATTATTATTAAATATAAAATTACTCCATGAACTATATATTTCTAAATTATAATTCTCTTCCGGCCTTCTCTTTTGCATGCTTTTGAAAACAAAGACGAGAAAAATATATTTTGATAATCAATGAGAAACTGAAACAAGTATGATTAAAAGCAGATTTAGGATACAGCCCTTCCGTCTCATCCACTTTAATAGATTAATTCAATTGGAGGAGAGTGCCACTTAATATGAAAATTGTACTCTTCTGTTTAACAAATATAAAATTTTTAAATTATGTATTTTTTTATTTACAGCTACAATTTTGTACACAGCCGTAGTTCGAGGCAAAGTCGCCTTACCATGTGACATATCGCCTCCTTCAGCTGATGATTCGGTGGTCCTAATATTGTGGTATAAAGGAGAAGACCCTGCGCCAATTTATACATTAGATGCCAGACGTGGCACTGTAGAACAAGCCCGACAATCTGCCAGCACTCATCTGGAAAATAGAGCCTATTTCAACATGATTAACCGGCCTGCTTTTCTACAGCTTGATCCTGTACAGGAAGATGACGCGGGGGAGTATAGGTGCAGGGTGGACTTCCGAAAAGCAAGGACTGTGAACACAGTAATCACTCTAAAAGTAATTGGTAAGTGGATATTTTACTCTGTTTTTTCTCTCCTTTGGTAATGAAGTCTCTAAGAATAGTATTAGTTTAAAAAATTTTGAGGTTTGATTTTTGTTATTAAATTAGATAAGTAATGTGGAAATAGGTTTCTAATGACTCAAATAAAAGGATAAGTACCATAGGAAATTGTTGATTTTGGTAATTTGATTGGCTATGGTTCACGTCGGATAGCACCATGAAGCAAATACTACTAAATGTAATTAAAAATTACTTTTGTAGGATTAACCTCTAAAGATGTGTTTTGCATAATCTAATAATGTAAAAACATCGGTGAAAGCAATAAATCCTCATAAATGAAACGCAAATTTGAAAATGTTTTAGATTTCTTGTGTTGGTATATATGTTTCAGTTTCGTGCATTATTTCGCAGTGTTAATCAATACCTTACTAACTTTACTTAATTTACGTTACGCTCAAGTGACGCATGAGATCGCGAGCATGTAAAAACATGAATTTACCCAAAATCCTATTTTTGCACTTGTCACATATCTTAAATTACTATAAAAACGTTATGGAAAAAGGATTAGACCTTTTATTGCGAATAAATGAATTACCTAGAAATTCATTCAAAAGATTTATGCACATTAAAAAAGTGTATCTTCTTATATAATTAAGTAAAAATAAATAAAAAAAATTTTAAGAAAATACTTGTGAAGCAAACAGTTTGTTGAAAACTAAAAAACTAACACTTCATTTATTTAAAAATATTAAGCATTTTTGAACATAATATGCGTTACATGCTCGAAAAAGCAATTAAAATTAAAAGCGGTGGATAGAAGAACACCGAAACAAAGCAGAAAAAAAATTAAGTAACTCTGACAAATTTGAGTTTCTCTTTTTCATTCGAACTAAGAAACAAAAAGAGACATCTTATGATGGAAAAACTCTTTTTTTATTTCTTTTTTTGGTTTTCCTTATGAGTATTTATTTTCTTATGAAGATTTCAATTAAGTTAATTTTCTGTACAAAAGAGTGAAGGCGGAAATCTCAAGGGGATGCGCAAATAAGTACTTTTCATGTCAGAAGAATGTAGTTACTGAAATTTTTTTAACGAAATATCGAAGTAAAAATATTTTTTTTTCCTTGTGACTCCATTTTGACTGGTATAAAAATAAAGATTAAATATATTAAATTTTAAGCAAACATTGTTCGAGAGGAAAGCATGCAAAATATTTTGGGATTTATAAAGAACATTCTAAGCTTTTATTTACATAAATTAATTTTTTAGTCGTCTTTTTGAACTAAACATTTATCTGAAAAACCAAAATATTATGTTATTTATGATTATTCATTTTATTTTTAAAAAACAAAATATTAAAAAAATTAGACTTGAGTGCAGTAAAACGTTAAATTGAAAGCATGAAGATAACTAAAACTCCCCCATGATTATTGTTTTTGTCAGTATGGATTAGTTTTATTTTGCTAAATTTTAAATTATTTTATTTATCGCCGAATTCTTTTAGAATTCAGCTTTACAAATAGTTTAAAAATATATATTTCGTTATTTCTAGGTTTCAAAGAATAACGAAAATTTCATACACGTCAGAAAAATTTTAAAAAAAATTTTAAAAATGCACATTTAACTATTACAACCCTAGATTAAAACTTGACACAGATGGAGCACCTGCGTTCTTTCGCATAAATTTTTACTGTTTAATTGCAAGAAAAAAAAACATATATTGGTGTTTTTTTAACACTAGATTGCCTAAAGAAGTCATTTTGACTTCTTTTAATTTCAATTAGAAAAACAATGATGGTATACACAATTATACACAATATGGTAAGGACACAATTTCTTAGAATTTTGTACCACGTATAACTTTTTTACTGTTAATATTTACTAATAACTTGTTATATAACTGTAAATAATACAAAAAATTAATTTTAAACAAATTTCTTTACACATTATTTATTCTTTCTCAATCTAGTCATTTTGACTGTTTTTGGGCAATATACGTATATACTAAGTTTCAATCTTTCTTGTGTAAATTGTGAGAAACTGTGTAATAGCTACTGAAAGAATCTGTCAGATTATATGAATTATATATGTATTAAAATGCAAAATCCAGAAAAAGTAGTTTTAAAAAGGAGGAAAAAAAAACTTTTTTTGCATTCTCATTCAAAAATTTATCAATAATTTATTTTGTAAATTAGAAAGAATCAATGATTAATAACTGTTTCTCTTAGATCTAAATAACTGCAAATTTGAAAATCTATTGTTTGGAAGTAAGCCGTATACGGAAAATTCCACTTTTAACGTAAAAAAATGGCATACCGTTTCATGCTGTGTTTCATAGCCAAATGATAATAAAATGCAAAATAAAATATTTTTCGCTTATTTTGACATAAGTTGATACAAAATATTGAAGATAAAAAACAGGAAAAATATTTTAATAAAATTCCTTTCATCAAAGTTTAAGTCTTATGCTACGGTATTATAACCTATGACCTTGCTAATGCTTTTTTTAAGATGGTTCTGCAGAAAACGTCCTCCTCTTTTTTTTAATTTTACAAAAATTTTATTTATTTATTCTAAAATATTTTTAATGGCAATGCATATTGCGCGTTGATTTTGTAATTCATGTTCATACCCCCTTTTTTTATTCTTGCGTTCAACTAAATTTTTTTTTATCAATGGCTGAACTGACTTTTTTTAATTGAATTATTTATCTAATTAAATTAAATAGCTAATAAGTTTTCACAGTTCTAAAAATACTATTTTTTTGTATAAATCATCTTAATTATCAATTGCTCGACAGCTCAGGTTTGACATTGGCCTTCTCAATATTTTTTTCGTATAAATACTAGACTAATAGATAATTTAACTCAAATTACACTTTATTTATTCGTTTATTTATTTTTGAACTTTTGAAATTTAAAATTAAATCTTCTTAGAAATGAACGTTTCTTCAGCAATTTATTTGAATTATTATACAAAATGTAATTGAAAAAAATTCAATTTCGGCATTAATTGCTCATAAAAATGTTGAAAAATCTAATTTCATATTCTTATAGAATAAATACTTTTTTTATTTTTATATGCCGAATTAGCTTTTAAATATCAGCTTTGCACAATATTAAATTATATATATAGTCAATTATTATAGTAATACAGTACATTATAGTTTACGATCTCCTGCCACAAATCCTGGGTTCCATCCCCGGGCAGGTTGACTCCTTTAGGTCCATTCGGAAGGTAAGGCCTTTCATCTCTTCCGCCGGTCGATAAAATCAGTACCAAGCATACTTGGGGACAAAACACTGGGGGTTCCGTGTTCGGCTGACCACACAACCGGAACATCAACTCCTGCATCCCAGAACACAAGGTCAAGAAAACTGAGATGGGTTAGAGTTGGAGAATGAGTTATGAGACCACACCATTGAGTTTGGTTTATATTATAGAAAAAGGCTATTTATCTTCTAACTTGATCATAAGACAAGCAATTAAAATACATGCTTCAAGCTCGGTGCATATGAAAATAAAGAGTGACGAATAGAAATTATTCTGTAGTGACGATATTTAATTTCTATTTTTTGAACCCGTGTCAAGGAAAAGACAAACAAGTATTTAGATTGGGAAGGGTGGTTTTATATTTAAGTATTAAAAATTTAAAACTTTTATCGGAGTTAACAAATCATTAGGGAAGAAAAATTCAGTTATAAACAACGAAGACTGTCTGATTATCATTTAAAACATAAAAAAATCCGAAGACGATTATAATAAATATCTCCAAGCATCGTAAGACAAACCAACTGCTATTATTTGCTCTATATCTCTCTTTTCTTGATAGGGATTCGACATATTTTGATTGTGTTATTGCTTCGTTGTTTCTGTTACATTTTTCTACATAGTGAATTGATAAATTTCGACTAAATCTTTGCTTCTTAATTGCTTGAATTGCTTGATTGCGGCACCTACTCAGGATACTTCTATATCCTAACATAATCCTATTTCCTAGCATAATCCTATATCCTTAGGATATGCATCCTAATATATCCTAACAAAAGTCCGTCATCATGAGTTTAAGATTGGTAGTCATAAACTCAGAATTCGGTTGGCTGTTCAATACCGGTTATGAAAAAGAAAAGCCGGGTTGTAAACTAACTGAAGAGAAAAAATTAAATTTATAAGCTAACTTTTTACTTTTGTTCAAACTCAAATTTACGAATTGGTTATTCGGTTCGAAAGTGAATAATTATTTGGCCAAAGAAATAGCTCTGATATTAATTTTATTATTTTTCAGAAATTTGAATAAAATATTTATGTACATTTTTTTAAAAGCAAAAATCATTTATTTAGCATTACAACATCATATGAAAATTCTACTTAATTATTTACATGGAAAACTTTAATGGAAATTTTATTCTATGTAAATTTACGCTTGTTTTTTCCCAGTCCAAAGGTTAAAATTTATTTATTTGCAAAAGCGTAATTACAATATAGTTATAAGCACTTATATTATAGAGCTGTCATTTATTCAGAGAATACCAGTAGTTTCGTAAAACAATTGAAATACAAAATGATACATAATAGTTTCATAAAATAATTTTACATAAAAAAAACATCTGATAATATTATCTAAAGCATTAACAAAATGAATCAACACAAATGAATTGCCATATTTTTTAAGCTTAAAATTAATTTTGAACTTTTAACAAAATCTGAAACATTTTCAAGACTTGTATAACTTTTTAATCTGATTCAATTATAACAGATTACATTTCTGGTGCAGTAGTTAGTCAAACTCATTAGGGAATTGCAACTTCAAAATATAGAATTTTAGTTTTTTACATTCATTTTGTAGACAAATCATTAATCATTCATACATTTAATGTTAGAAATGTGTTCATATATTTGAAATTGGAACATAGAAATGATTATTTCATGGAAAACCCTTAGACTTTTGGAATCCAATTAGCTAGCTCCGAAAGAGATTATCAGATCTTTAATTAGTATCTTGC